CCCCAAAACCCCAAAACCCCAAAACCCCAAAACCCCAAAACCCCAATTTCTATTTTATTCTTTGAAATTAAAGAAATATCAATGTGGAGAAACAATTCTAAAAATAAATACTCAGCATCAAGATATAAGAATCAGAAAAGTACTAAAACAAAAATATCAAAGAGAGAACTTCTCACCGAACTTCAGAAGAAGCAAAAATAAAGAGATTAAGGCCAATCTCGATCAGAATATGAAAATGAATCAGAAAATTACCGATTTATTAATTAACAAAGACAATAAATTTGCAATAAAAGCACTTAGACAAATAAAGCGAAATGCCTTAAAGACTATTAAATAAATTCGGGGAGAACACTAAACAGAGGAATCATGCATCGCAACTCAACTCTACTCTAAAGCTACCTGCAAGTGAGGAACAAAACTTATTAGCCCAACATCCGTATGCATCGAAATCGCCTGAGAGAGATTTCAATAACATTAACTCAGCAAAGTTGGACAAAATGGCTTCCAGAAAATAAAAACAACAAAAGCGTTTGAGTGAATGCTGATAAGCTCGATGACAGAGTTTCTCTACCGAAGTTAGATCCTCCCAACGATCAGCTGTATAATCAGTACTCCTACTTTAAAAGCAGGGAGAACTCTTTAGGTACGAACTCAATAATTGCAGACAAGTATAAACATAGAAGAAGCATTGCTCACAAATAAAAGTCAGCATGTTGACATTAATTTGTCAAAACTAATATTGGACAATGCTAAGATGGATGAGAAGCTTCACAATAATGAAAGGATGAAGATCATGCGCACTCAAGCAAGCTTGAAGGAGGAACTTCTCAAGCAAACCCAGCAAAATAACGAAATGAAGCGGCAAATAAAACAGTTCAACACAATCACTGACCAAGATTATCTCAAACTGTAACCAATTTGGCTTAACTCTAGAGGTGAAAGGCAGGAGATGAAGAATTTATGTGATCAGCAGCACAAGAAACACCAGATTTATGACATCCGCAAAGTTAACCAAGATATTAGCAAATTCAAGAAGCTTCGGAAATCATCCCAGAAGATGGTAACATTATGTGTCTGACCTCTTAGAATGAGCAGAAGAAAGAGCTGTTTGCTATCCAGGAAGCTCAGAAGCAGTATAAAGATGACATTCAAAAATATCGTCAAGCAAAACAGCAGAAAATGCTAGATTTTAAGAATGAGATGGACAAGGCAGTCAAGCTCAAGGCTGCCAAAGCTAATGAGGATGGAGCTATCAGCATAAAGTGGGATGAAAAAATGTTCAAGAGTTTATACAAGTCAAAGCCAGGGTCGATTCTGGACTACTTCTTCCAGACTAAGGATCAGAGAGGCTACGAATGTCCTATCATGAGGCAGAAAAAGACTGATATCCAAAACACTTACTTTTCATTTGACTCTCGAAGTCCCACACTTGAGTAGCTTGGAGGTTCAATCTTTGAAATCTGACGAGGGGTTTTGGGGTTTTGGGGTTTTGGGGTTTTGGGG